TTCAAGCTGTTATTAGCTCATACATCCATCCTTTCATCAGATATACACTCCTTCATTCATTCATTTATTCATTCACTCACTCATTCAAAAACGTTTATCTGAAAAGTAAGAAGGAAAAAAGAATGCGTAGAGAAAGACATGGCTAAAAGTAGGAAACCAAAGAACTGCTAAACGAACGACCAGCTTGTCAACTCATATGAATATAACAAATGACCACCACTGATGACCTAGCTGACCAAAGACGATCCAATATTGAAGGAATAAGTGCCAAAAAATATCACAGACACTGTACCATTGTAAAAATAAGTACAAAAAAAAAACCATACCACCAGCATGGTGATATTGAAAAAAACAAGTAGCAGTAATCACTAGAGCCATGTGCTGACAAAATTTTTTCAAACTTTAACCAAAATCAAAGACACACATATACACACACAGACAAACACACATATACACACACATATATATATTTGTTTTCATAAGAAGAGTCTGACATTTATATTGGAGTAAAGTAGGGACATTTGTTATGGAGCAATTGTCATCATTGGCTGTGATTTATGATGTAATAAATGGAAATACATCTATCAAAATCACCACTGTCATCTTTTTGGCCAGTATCACCATTGACATTATATCATTATCCTCATCTTCTTGTTGGAATGATAATTTACAAAGAGAGAGAGAGAAAGAGAGAGAGGAAGAGAAAGAAAGAGAGAGAGAGAGATGATATTCATTTTAATCATTAAATTCATTATCATATCAGTTTCATCTTAAAGATGTCATCATGGCTGTCACTCACACACACATATATACACATATGTGCACACGCATAATCATAAGCGCACACACAGATACACACGACACACACAAACACATACACACACAGACAGACCCACACACATGACACACAACAGATCTGATAAAAACAACCTGCATTCAATTTATTTAATGCTTGAACCAGTAGATAAACAAATGTGCATAAATTTTCTAAATTAAATTACTTTATATAAAATATATATATAACACAAACACGCGCACACATGCACACACACATACACACACGACTATAAATATAGAAACATACATACATACATACATACATACATACATACATACATACATACATACATACATACATACATACATACATACATTCCTATAACATTACATTATATAAAATATTCAGCATCTTAAACTGTTTAGTCAAGAATGAAAAAACAATAACAAACAACACCAATTACATCAGTAACAAAGTCAACAACAGTAACAATTTTAAATCAATCTTTAAAAATTTAATAATGCTTTAAGTGAAAGTTTCATTAGGTAACAACAACAAAAAATGAAAAAAAACTGTATCCAAAAAACCGACCGAAACACGAAATTACATTTGTACCTTCCTCACAAGTAGAAAATAATTATAGCCCCAACAGCAGAATCACAAATGAAAGAGCAGAGGAGAAGAAAACACCTGAGACATGATGTAATAAAAGTTCATCACACATGAGCCAATCTCTCTGGATAATGTATGCAAGTACATGCATAGCAAACCACAGCCAACCAACCAGTCAACCAATCAGTTAACCAATCAGTCAACCAGCTAACTAACCTCAACACAGTAATTGCATTCATTGCAATGTGTAGTTCTTGGTGGTCTGTACATCTTACAGGTTCTGCACCATTTCAATGAAACACTTGTCCCTTCAATTTCCACATTCTTGTACATAGGTGCATTGTTGTCCTTCACTTCATGTGCTTCAAATTTTTAAGAAAAATAACTTTGTTATACTAGTGATAGCTGATTTCTGAATTTCAATATGATATATAACAAAATGGTATGGAAAAAAAATGAAACTTTTATAAAGCATAAAATACATGATGTAGAAGCTTAAATATCCTTAAATACATACCAGAAAAACACACACACAGACAAAAACACACGTACACCGATAATACTAAATTTTCAAAAGTTGGTTTATTTTATCATACCTTTTGGGTACTTCCCAGGATCAAGGAATGTCGACAGCATGAAATTGCAGACTACGAACAGAAACAACACTGCCTCGCATGCAACTACCCAATATCCATGTCCATATGATTTTATATAATAAGGCATCCTGAAATTGTTATGTTATAAATTGTTACTTGTTATAAATAAATGAAAATAAAATTGTATTTTGTTGAGGAAATGATTGAACAAAATATCTATTGACTATTTTTAAATGAAATATGAATATATACTAAATACAAATTAAATTAAATTAAAATATTAAATAAAAAAATAAACCAACACAAATCCATATGACAAGCCAGTGCATGTTAGCAGGAGTAACCAAGCAAATAATGCTGGCAACATTTTTGTCAATTTTCTCAGACATTTGGATATTTTGCCACTCATTTTCTTTAATTTTAATTTAATTGCAAACAAATTATGCAAAATTATTTAATTTTATATATTTTCAATGTTTTTTTTAATATAAAATATAAAAAGTTTAAACCCCCC